CTCGTTCTGCTTCTGACCGGGAGTCTATTGAGGAGAATCAACCACATTGTAGTCTTCATACGGGATGAACCTTTCGAAGACCAAACTTTCTTCCAAAGGGCATATGCTTGAGAATCATCAAACTCCATCAAGTTTTTATATGATATTTTAACCAGAGAATAGAAGACATGGTTTTGCACCCAAACTAGTCTGTCATCTGAGCTGTTCAACCACTGAGGAGGTTGGCAAAGCACCTTGGAAACAATCTCATCATTCAGGAACTGTTTCAAATAGTTTATACCCCACTCACCTTTTGGAGCCACTTCTGTAATGGTCTTATGAGTGTCCAAACTGGGGAGCGACCCAATCATCAAGCCAAAATCTCAGGGACTCACCATTTCCTAGTTCCCACCTTAAACCCGCAAGAAACCAATTCTAGTATTTACTTAAGTCACGCCAAAGCTTTGAGTCATATGATTTGACAGTAATTCCACGTCTCAAATCCTATCCTCTGCCATATTTTGCTCTGAGGACCTTAGCCCATAAATCCTTGCTTCTAGCAAGTAATCTCCAAGCAAGTTTATGCATATAAGCCTCGTTCTGGATCTGGAGGTTGATAACCCCAAGCTCGCCCATTTCTTTTGGTTAGTACAAAGTGTTCCATGAGACCAAATGGGTGTTGTTGCTGCCCTAAATGAATGAACGCTGGATCTGCTCTACTTCGTCACATAAAGTTATAGGTAATAGGTCATTTTGCATATGAAACGCTGGTATTGCACCATTCACTGACTTGGCAAGCGTTACCCTTTCGGCAAAGGTTAAACACTGTCTTTTCCAACCGTCAAGCTTGCATCTGATCCGATATGATCTGATCCATGATAGCAGCATAATTATTTTTTGTGTCGCGACCTTGTTTGATAAAGGATCCAAGGTATCTGTCAATACTATGCACTCTCTTATAATCTATGTGATCTATTATGGCCTCAGTAGTACCATCAGTGGTGTTTGGCGAAAAGTAGATTGTTGATTTTGGGTTGGTCACACTTTGGCCTGACATTTGGCAAAACTGATTCAAGCACTACATAATCACCTTAGCTTGGTCTGTCGATGCTTCGGTGAAGAGAATAATATCGTCCGTAAACATAAGATACGAAATAGAAGGACCACTTCTGCTAACTCTAACTTGTTTCTAATGATCACTATCGACTCTTTCCACTATCAACTCTTTGGGAGATAAGATGGGACAACTTCTCTGTGCATAAAACAAAAATATATCAACTTCTTTACGCATAAAAAAAAAAATTTATGAAAGATTTTGAACATTACATGTGTTTGACTAACATACAACATATGTATATTACGTGTAAGACACGAGTATTCGCTATGATTGCAAGTTTGTGCAAGTGTATGATTGCAAGAACCGCATTGCTGATACGAAATTTCTTGTCCCTGAAAGTGAATATTCTAGAGGTGAAGAAACAATGTGTGGTTAGCGATTAAAAATCAAAGATGCAGCTGTATTTAATGGGTTTACAGTTTTTAATGTGGTATACATATAAAAATATGGGTTTAAATTATTTTTTTCTTTTTTTCCATATAGTTCCACATGAATTCTATATATTTTTATGTGAATAGGAAATAATTTTATCTACTATAATGTGAAAATTTTAAATCTTTATTAATATTAAGCTCCTTTTATTGGTAAAATAATACAGTACAATATTATTATGAATCAAAAAAAATTATATAAATAAAAAAACGGAACAAAAGTGTAATGATGTAGTTATTTACTTTGGAAATCAAGATCACGTTAAATATCACTATAGGCGTGTCCTTTAGATTTTCCCCCCAAAATTATTTATATTTAGATCAACTACCTATAAAAAATTAATCCCAATTAAATTTAGCGTATGAGAACAGGACAACCATCAATTCACCGTAATTTTATTTTATTTTTTAAACAAAAGCATGTTAAAACTAGCACTAACGCGAATCTATCAACTACGTATTTAATATTGTTAAATATATTCGAATTAAGAATGTCAAATTGGGTAGCTCAGTTACTGCAAAAGTCAGCCACTTTAATTAAGATCCACTTTTCTTCTCTCTTTTTGGTCTGTAACTTTTAAGTGAAACCATTTAAACATTGGATTCAGTTTTAAGCTGCAACTTTTTTGCATGTTCACTGTAATTTTTAGTATTTTTAGACATATAGCTCGCGCTTTATGCTAGAATTTTGATCCACTGAATGTGATATGAAAATGTAAAATTAGCCATTACCTTACAAAAATAATTATAATTAATAATATAATTCATAACTGTTACAGCATCTATGCTGCTTATTGAATTTTTCAAAAACAAAAGCAAATGGCTCAGACCAAACATTGGAGTTTGAGAAGCCGAGTAAAACAAAGTCAGACAAAAATACTAAACTGACATCATTGGCTATATGAGTGACAGAAGAAACCGAGCAACCCTGACCAGAAATAGTGGCATCAAATTGGGCGGCGAAAGAAAGATATAACAGCATGCTGAAGTGCTGTGAGTGGAAGCAAAGCAAGAGACATGAATTCTCAATTTCAGAGTGGATGGACGGTTACAGATATTAGATAATTGAATACAATGCCAAAACTATATTTTAATTAATTTGCAGATAAAGCCTAACTCTATCTACTTTAAGGATTGCATTCATTTTGTTTTTTAAAACAGAAATTTAGTTGAGACCCATACAACTTGCTATTATTATTATTTTCACTCTTGTTCCGGATGACCCAAATACTAAAGGGCCCCAACTATCCAGGTCCAATACCGGGCGTGACCCCGCGTCAGTCCTAAGGGCTGACATGGACCTCCTCAACCCCCAACGTAGCAGCAAGTCCAAGGCATACACCAAAATGCCCCATCTTGGAACGCTAACCATCGAAGGCGACTACGACAGACACCGCAAAGGGAAACTCCCCCTTTGCCCGGTGCTGACATCGCCAGAATACAGAGGGCGCAGCACTGCCACAATGACAGCGCCAGCACGCCTAACACTGCATCATGGGAGTAAATCCCAAGGAGAGTTGACCTCCCCCTCACCAACCCACACCATTTCCCCTATAAATAGCCCCCATGGGCACATCTTACAGGTATCTTATGTATCGTTATATTGCCCATTTACTTGAGTCATATCATCCTTTTGCTTATTACCTATTCACTGCTTACACTTGGCTTTATACTTCTTAGCCTGATCTGTATCAGTGCTAAGGATATTATCCATACATTGACTCATCCCCATCGGGAACATAGTGGGCTTATAGATCTCATCGGTACAACTCTTATGACTATAGGTTAGTCCATTCGATTCTTATAAACCTTACCTACTCTTCATCGGATTTAGATTTGGCACTTATATTAAGTATCAATATTCAGTATCCTCTGGGAGCATTCATTTTGAGCATCAGACCAAATTGAATTATATCGTTTATCATTATTAATATTTGTAGGGTGAAATATACAAAACATAAATTCGTGAGTTTATTAGATAATATACACACTATCAAACACAACTTAATCACCATGTGGATGTATATCATTCGTTGCTGATTTGCGATAAACATGGTTTTTTGTCCATCATAATGTGAAACCGGATACATAACGTTTATACAAGATAGGCACATGGGCATATAGCTCTCTTTAACTGTATCAGATTTTTGCGTTATGCATCGAGGTGTATGTGGAAACTCTGGAAGTCTTAAAAAAATCTTCTCTCAAAGGACTATATATGCTACTCCTGTAATTCAGTTATCAAATATTCAATTGGGAATTCAATGTTTGAGTGTCAGTAAATATTTATATCAGTGAGAAATACTTGCACAAACTTAGTTATGCATATCCCTATCACCCAATTTATATTATTATTTAATAAGTAACGAGTCATTTTTTTATCGTGTAGCAAGAATTTGAAGTTCTTGTATTCCGACAAATACATAATTATAATATAAGAAAAAAATAACTTTTAATATTATAACTATGTATTTCTCTAAGTACATAGTTATAAGGGATATAAAAAAATTAATATAACTATGTATTTTTCAGAATACATGATTTATAGGAGAACTTTAAATTCTTGCAACATTATAGCCTATTGTTCCATAGATAATTTATCATAATTAATGATGTGATTGAGTGTGTGTAATTATTAAAGAGTGTTGTAATGGAGAATATTTGTAGTGCTCACCTACCTACATTTATGAAAAATTTGCTCAAAAACTGAGTGTAATTACATATAGGCGAGTGAGTGTCTTTCTATTTCAAGGAGCACCAATACTATAAACGTCGTAAGGAAATTGATTAATAAGGAATATTTAAGATTCTCTATTAAATGTTTCTAACTAATTAAAACGAAAGTTTACTAAATGTACTTTATATTGTCAATATTAAAAATAGTATTTTTTATTTTATTTTTTTCCCTCAACTAATGTTATCATTAGCGAATCCCGTATAGTATTAATGGATAGAAAAATAATTACAGTTATGGGAAGAACATGGGAGGCTTGTCGACTACCCACACTGACTTCTCGTTATTCTGTTTTGCTCTTTTCAGAATTATAATATGCAGACTCCACAATCTCTATAGGAAGGCATTGGCCTATGAGGTATTTGTCGGTTCCCACTTCTAAAGCCATTAAAAAATTGGTTGTGTTGATGAAACTTTGCACATTTTCCACTATGGCTTGTTATTATATATAGTAACTCAGGCTTTGAGATTCTGCATATACTCCAAGGGTCCAACTTTGTTAAACTTGTAGCAACTTTGTGTTCTAGTGCTCTTAGTGGTCACTTGTTTCAAAGAAGGCAGAACCCCCTTTCTTTCAACTTCCATAATTTGAGTCTTTATTTCTTTCATCAACTTGTTGACAGTCACAAACCCAATTGGTGTATCAAGTTTTCAAATTTTTGGTGGCCATACAGTAATATAATTCTCATCTTTCTTTTACATGCTTTTACTTTTTTCCTTATTCTTTTTTAATCTCAGAATGAGGCATTCTCCTATTACACCACTAGCATTCTCCATATATTTTCTTACTTTATTTCTTTCCACCCAAGCTAGATACCATTTCCATCCAAAACACAACCACTCACATTCTCATAATTCACCTGAAATTCCACAACCTCCTGCTCCACTTCCTGCACCTTCTATCTCTCCTGATGAAGCTCCTAGTCCTGCTGTTAGCGAGAACTACTATAATTCATCTAGCTTTTTCGATGTAAGAAAATTTGGGGCCAGTGGAGATGGAATAACTGATGATACAGAGTCATTCAAGATGGCATGGGACACTGCTTGCCAAAGTGAATCAGCAGTTAATGTTATCCTCGTTCCCCATGGTTTCTCCTTCATTATACAATCTACTATCTTCACTGGTCCTTGTCAAGGTGGCTTAGTGTTAAAGGTAATATACTTACTCTGCACCTTTTTTCTATTATTCTTGCATGGTTAAGGGTAAAGTTGACTAATGGACATTGATGGTGGTGCACATGGAGAAGGTTGATGGCACTCTTATGCCACCTGATGGACCTGAATCTTGGCCAAAGAATAATAGTAGGCATCAATGGCTGGTCTTTTATAGAATCAACGGAATGTCACTGGAAGGAAGTGGTTTAATAGATGGGAGAGGAGAAAAATGGTGGGACCTTCCATGTAAGCCTCATAAGGTATTGATTTAAAATTATAAAGAACAAAAAAAAAAAATGTTTAATTTTGATGCTTCAAACAGTAGTTGATTCCTGCAATAAATGCCATAGGGACCTCATGGGACAACAGCTCCAGGACCTTGTGACAGCCCAATTGTAAGTTGCCAAAGTTTTTCTCATGTATGAGTGTATTATGATTGAAAATTATTATTCATGTATAAATAACTCTGCATGTTGCAGGCTTTAAGGTTTTTCATGAGTTCCAACTTGACTGTACAAGGACTTAGGATCAAGAACAGCCCCCAGTTCCATTTCAGATTTGATGCCTGCAAAAGCGTCCACATAGAATCAATCTTCATAACAGCTCCAGCACTAAGCCCCAATACTGATGGAATACACATAGAAAATACCAATGACGTGAAAATATACAATTCTGTCATTTCTAATGGTTAGTCACGGAAGAAGAATCCCCTAATTCTCTTTATCTATTGCATCAAAAAGCATTAAAAATATATGTTCTATGAACTACCCTTTTATAGGTGATGACTGCGTGTCCATTGGATCCGGTTGCCATGATGTTGATATAAAGAACATAACATGTGGACCTGGTCATGGGATTAGGTAACTTATTATTTACTTTCAAAAGAAGTTTCAATCAATAGGGTTTGAATATATTTTCTCTAATTAATGTTGTCTTGTTAATTTTATTCAGCATTGGTAGTCTGGGAAATCACAACTCTAGAGCCTGCGTTTCAAACATAACTGTGAGGGACTCAGTTATAAAAGTGTCAGATAATGGGGTTAGAATCAAGACATGGCAAGGTGGATCAGGATCAGTATCAGGAGTGACATTCAGTAATATTCACATGGATAGTGTAAGGAATCCCATTATAATTGACCAATTCTACTGCCTCACCAAGGATTGCACCAACAAGACCTCTGCAGTGTTTGTATCAGATATACTTTACACAAACATAAAGGGAACGTATGATATAAGGTTCCCACCTATGCGTTTTGCCTGTAGTGACTCTGTTCCGTGCACTAACTTGACACTCTCAGATATTGAGCTTCTTCCCTCTCAAGGTTATATAGTGCGTGATCCTTTCTGTTGGAATGCTTATGGAAATTCAGAGACACTAACCATTCCCCCTGTCTCTTGCTTGCTGGAGGGCAATCCTCAGTCCATTTCAGGCAATGACATAGATCATTGCTGACTCACTAAATTCTGTAAAGCAAAATTGTGTGTATGTATATAATTACTAGGAAGTAGTAATTATGGAGTATAGTATGTATGATCTTGAGTCTTATGTTGTGATTGTTGAGGAGTTGTGTTTTAGATTCTCCTCCCCAATTGTTAACTATGTCTCTTAATTATTTCCGGTTTGAAATGGAAGTTTGGACTTGCTCGTATCCCTAGAGCTTGAATATCTGACCACTACACATCTAACTATGTAAATCTTACTATAAAAGTTTTTATATAATGAGATTTATATAATTTTTTAAAAATTGTCAATAGATTCTTACTAATTAATAACCATTCTGTGTTGCTACTAAACGTTTTAGGGACTTAATGATAAAATTCTATAATTAGCAAGAGTTCACTTAAGACTATAGAGCCTATTTAAAAAATACTATCCAATATTTGGTATGGTAGTGTATAAGATAATATCCTCTAATATTTTAAAAATTAATATATTAAAAAAAATTATTTTAATATATTAATATTGAAATGATATATTAATTCTTGAGAATTATACTTGTAAACAATATTAATACATAAACCATTTCTCAGGCCTAATCTTACCCTCTTAGGCCTGATTAAGTTATACATTATTTTGATGTATTAAGGGGTTCTGCTTTATAAGCTTATACTATACGATGGTCACAGCAAATAACTGAAAAATATCATAAAGTATAGTATAAGCTTATACTATCAATTCTTATACATCACACAAAACAGGCCCTAAATAAAATTATAGAAATCCTGTTCAAGACTTTTGAACTATATAGACCTACTTAATTTTTTTTTTTTAACTGTAAAGATTATAATGTAATAACAAATAAGCCACTTGTCGAAGTCTCAGAATTTGGATAAATAAATATATATAAATGGATAGATCATTACAAGCCAAGCAATTTTGTTGCCCTTTTACTCCACCAAATTAATATAGTTATACAGCATCCATGCCTTTGATGATGCAGCAGACCAATGCATCCTTAATTATAGTAATAAATAATTTCTTACAGTCATTTCTCTAACATGATTCGCTGCCATAGTGGTATGTTGATGGGTTTAGATTTACAAATAAAGTTGAAATATTTATGATACCCCACGCTGTTTTAGCAAACCAAGTGTGATGAAGAATTTTTTGTTTCTTTTTATAGAACTCAATCCTTAAAAGAAGCTCAGAACTTTTGCCACCCATGAAATTATTATTATTTGGTTCAGGTTGAACCAGTCATCTTATTTAAATCAGAAATTAGATTCCAAAACTGCCTTGGCATCTGTGTCCTAAAGGAAGATTAAGGTGATGACTGATGAGAGTATAAACAAACCAAAACATTGTAAACATAACGGGAATTTAGAAAGCAAAACAAAAAGGGAATGATGATTACATAATTATCAGTGAGCATGAGTGATTTCAAGAGGATTTGTAACCCATGACCCTCACTTCTAAGTTGGGTTCTGAAGTGGAGGGAGTGACAAATTGCATTTTTCAATTTGCACGCGGGTCAGAGTGTCTATATATTAGAAGGAAGGTATTCTTGCATTCCCTGAGAAAAAGTAAGAGTCAGTGCACGGGCTATATGTCCAATTGCCACCCACCAAACACACCTTTTTGTTCTAAGCTTTTTAAAGGTTATTATTGTTATTGCCACAGAATGCAAGACATGAAAACATTGGGATGGAAAGAAAATTAACAAGCACTTGCTATATTGGGGTTCAAGGGAAATAATTTTATCTAACATCAATGCTGAATCAGCCCCTTCTCAAATGCTTGTTTAAACAATCTTTTCAGCTTTTAGGCCCATTCCCACAATCCTGCTGCTACCTCCTTTCTCTACTCCAATTGATCTTCTTCTAGTCCTGTAATTATTTTGCAGCACAATGACTGAGCCTTCTTCAAAATCAAGTCCACTTCGAACATTGATCATTCTATACACCTTTTATATATATATATATATATATATACCCCAGGCGTTACAGAATCCACATTCAGATTCCCTTTTGGTTTATGTTTCCTTGTTCAGAACCAGACGTCCTCCTCACATGTCAAAAGATACAAAGATAAAAAATCACATGTAATTATAGAGCAGGCCAACACCATATAATGCTAACCATATTCCAAAACGCCTTTTTTTTTAAAAAATAACATGATTGAAAATGTGTTGCATCTAGCCTAGCACCATGATTGAAATTGAATTTGCTTCAATTTATATTCCTTGTATTTCAAATTCTCTGAAATTTTGAAATAAGTCATCCGCTTTAAAAAATATAAGAATCATGTTGTAAGAAAGAAAATCTGATCATGTTACAAATTATAACTATTTATTATAAGTAATACATAGTTATAATATTAAAATTATTTTTTTTCTCTTTTTGCCACGTCAGCCGACACCTTATGAAGAGAAAGAAAAAAATAGCTTTTAATATTATAGTTATATACTACCTATAATACATAGTAATATTTTTTTTTGCAAGACCAAATTTTTTTCCTACAAGAAACCCTAATAATATTAGGAACAACTTGGAGGTAAAGTGAAACATAGGAAATGACTTGCAGGTTGATGACTATATAGGTATAACACTTTTTTTTCCTCGTAGGTATAGCACTTTTTTTTTTGTATTATAGGTATAACACTTCGCATGAATATGGGCATGGAAGGCTGTCCAAAGTTAACGAAAAAGGTAGAAAAAGGAATCTAGGCCACTCAAAAGGGCATCTCATCAACCCACTACAAGTTTTGTCTGATGGGCTTAAACTTTATTTCAAATGAATAAAAACATCTAAATATAGCAAACAAATAGCACTTTCTTTATCCATTACGATGCTTGAACAGACTTGCAAGAGAGTAAAAAGCAAAATTTTCAACAACAAAAAAAGGAGACAGCAAAAGAAATACTCAATAACTGCATAAAAATTATTGGTTTGGCTCATTTTTTAAAGTACTACTACTATTTTATTAATTTCTCTTTTGACAGTCTTCATAAGGACTAGAAATGAAAATAATGAAGACGGGGGAACTGGGAAGGTGGGTAGGCTTTTATGCACGCCAGTTCTAGGGGGAATAAAAACCGCTACTAAAGTTCACATCAATGCGAAGTGTGCTTATTAGCTGTAAACATGAGAAGATGAAAGATTATGATACAATTTCAAGCTCGGGACATAATCAGAACATTTGTAATGTTTCTTACCAATGATTTTTAGCATATTCATAAGAGAGAAAAAAAAGGTATTAGAAGATAAAAGAAAAAAGGCTAGAGCTTAAATGCCAATTTTAACATTGTTCATATTTGATGGAAATTACCAAACACTTTACTAAGTCTTTTATAAATCCAAATCTTGTACCCCAAAAAAAACTTCACATCTATATAAATTCCCCCTACCCATCATGTACGACTGGTGTAAAAAAGCAGTAAACTCCTTCTTATTTAAGGGAAAAATATTAATTCAAATGAAATTTTAAACTTATAGAGCAGAAGAATAAACTAAAGTGCAAGCTAAATGATTTGCATAAAAATTGTTCTCAAAATTAACCAATTAAAAAACTTTGTACCACACTACCACTGGAGTTGAAAGAAAATTTTAAAATCAGTGAAAAGGAGGTAGGAGATCCTTCAATGTAAATCTTTTAAAATATGTACCCCGAAGAAAAAAACTCCTAAAATATAAATGGAGGCAAACAATTTTTATCTTTGATAGAAAACATTTTGTGTATTTAAACAACCCTCGAGTTCGTTAAATTTCATATTAATCATGCTGAAAAGCTTGACAAAACAATTGAAAAGCTTCTAGCTTTTGCCACTATGCGGGATATTGATCATTGGGACATCTTTTTGAATAAAAAATACCAAAATGCCATCGAGGTAAGAAATTTTGTCAAAATGTCACGACACCAAACTCGCTATAACTACCAATGAGTTTGGTTATGTCACGTGGCACGTTTGCTGAGGTCACCAAACTCCTACTAATTGTAGCAAGTTTTGCGGTCAAATTGGTTAGTCTAATTTCCGCTTGTGATACTTGTTGTCGTTTCTTTTTATATTTCATAAAACGACATTTTATTTGATTAATAAGTGTCGTTCTTGTTTTTAATCAAAATGAATCGTTTGGAAGCTCTGGGTGTATAACCCTTGTGTATGAGTAATATGCTCTTGATTGACTAGTGCAAGTTTTTGAGGAGTTTGACCATGTTGGACCTTTGGATGTAGGAACTAGCTAACAACTAGTTTTGAACCAAGTAAATTCTTGGTGTACTCTTTCTCTCTTTCTTTCTTCTATGATTTACTTTCTGTTTTTCGCGTCTGTAAAATCGCTCACAAGTGGTATCAAGAGCCTATTTTCTTGGTCCCTGTTTTTTCTCTATTTTCCAGTTACCTCTGTTGTAGTTCCAATCTTTGTAAGAATTATGGGGTCTGCAAGGATCGAGGTGGAGAAGTTCAACTGGAAAAGGGACTTCAATATGTGGCGTAAGAAGACGCGAGTAGTGCTGGTAAATCAAAAGTGCTCTAAAGCTCTTGGTGGTGAAAAAGAATTACCTGCTTCTTTAACTGCTGATGAAAAGAATAATATTCTTGAAAATGCTTATAGTCTGTTGATTCTACATTTATTTGGTAGTGTTCTTAGGCAAGTTAATGATGAGACTTCTGCTGCTGGTATTTGGTTAAAACGTGAATCTATGTTTATGACTAAGTTTCTATTTAACAAGATTTACTTAAAAGAAAAGCTCTTTGGGTTTAGAATAGATTCCAGTAGGTCTTTGGATGATAACTTGAACGAATTTAAGAGAATAACCATTAGTTTGGGTAACATAGATGAAAAAATATCTTATGAGAACCAAGTCATTATCCTTCTTAATGTTTTGCCTGATTCCTTCAAGGATGTAAAATATGCCATAAAATATGGGAGAGATTCTCTGTCTTTGGAAGATGTTTTGGCAGCCTTGAAGTCTAAAGAGCTAGAGATAAATTCAATGAAAAAGACCTCTTCTGAAGGTTTGAATGTAAAAGAAAAATTTAGTAAAAAAGGTTAGTTTAAGAATAAGGTAAAAAATAACAATTTTAATAAAGATAAGGAGCAACCCAAGGGTAAGGTGACATGTTGGCAATGTCACAAAGAAGGGCATGTTAAGAAAATTTGTCCAGTGAGAGGAAAACCACAATCCAGCAACCATAAAACAAATAATAAGGCTGACTATGCCAATCTGTTAATAGATTTTGATAGTTCTGAAGTCTTGATGATGTCAAATGACTCACATGAGAGGGAATGGGTTATGGATTATGGGTGTACATTCCATATGACACCTAGGAAGGACTGGTTGATTGGTTTAAAATCAATTGAAGGTGGAAAAGTTTTAATGGGAAATAATCGGACCTACCAAGTGATAGGAGTGGGCTTGGTTAGGTTAAAAATGGGTAATGGAACTCTTAAAATTTTGAAGGATGTGAGGTTGGTTCCTAATCTTAGGAGAAACCTCATATCACTTAGAATGTTGGACTCCAAAGGCTACACTTTCAAAAGTGAAAGAGGGTCTCTTGAAGTGGTTAAGGGAGCCACAATAGCCATAAAATGGAGGCTGGAAAATGGGCTGTATATTTTAGATGGTGAAGCCATAGGCTTAGAGACTTGTGTTGGCCTTTTGCATTTGCAGTAAGAAGATTTTACACTGGTGGTGTTCTTGGAGTTTCTTGAGCGCATCATAGCTGTTGGTTGTGGAGTCAAGACTTGTTGAGCACTGGTGTGGTTTATTCATAAGAGTATTTGTGGTTCTTTAACTCTGTGATTGTGTTGATTTAAATACTTGTTGCTGTATTCTTGAGTAGCTAGGCTTTTTCGGTTAAATCTATAAATTGGGGCTTTTGGGGTTACGATTTAATTTCGTGTTTGATTCTTGTTAATCTGTACACTTGTATGCTCTTGATTGACTAGTCCAAGTTTTAGGGGAGTTTGACCCTGTTGGACCCTTGGATGTAGGAACTAGCTGACAACTAGTTTTGAACTAAGTAAATTCTTGGTGTACTCTTTCTCTCTTTCTTTTTTCTATGATTTAATTTCTCTTTCTCACGCCTGTAAAATCGCTGACACTGCTTTTTAGTAACACGTGAAGGAGAGAGATAAACTCGCTGCATGGTGCAGCGAGTAAAGTCTCAACAGTGCCACACTTACTGCACAGCCCAACAAGTACATTAGATTTGACATGGACGAGTTTGCCGTAATTAATAAAAATGAAAGGACTACGAGAGTTATGAATTTAAAGTACCTAATCTTTAAAATAAAGGCAAAAATTCACTATTGAGACTTTACTCTCTGCACCCTGCAATGAGTTTGTCTCTCTCCTCCACGAGTCACTGAAAAGCAAAAATCAGACTGACCGATTTGACCAATCTAGTAGTGAGTTTAAGGGTTTTGATCCCTAGCCATGTGTATGAAAAAAGTTTTGTTGGGAGGGGTTTACCCACTTAATGTGATATCCCGCCTCGAAATGATTAGTTTTCGACTGTTGGCTGGAGGATACCTAGGAAAACCAAAAAAAAAGTAGAGAGTTTGGTGACCTCAACAAATATGCCACGTGGCTTAACCAAACTCGCTTGCAGTTGTAGCGAGTTTGGTGCCTTGGCATTTTGGCAAAATTTCTTACCCCTATGAAATTTCGATATTTTTTATTCAAAAGATGGCACAATGGTCAATGTCCTCTGCGCATACCCAAGTATCATTACAGTTCAAGAAATCAAATTGAAAGATGACACGTGATAAATCTTTAGTTTATCATATTTTAAAGCTAAATATTACATGAATAACATAGTCAAAGACATGAATACTTAGGTTTTATAGTGAAAAAACATGAAAGTTGGATTTTGATCTAACATAATTCATTCTTGTGTGTTTTGAAGGAAAATTGACTTAAATTGATACAAGGATGAAACAGAGGACTTGGAGTAGGAAATGAAAGATCAAAGAAGTCCTGGAATGCATCCAAAAAGCAAAGTAAACAGTAGAGGAGAGCGTTAAAACACCACAGAGCGCGTTACAACGCGCAAATCACATGGAAATCTTGAGGAAAGCATTGGGAGGAGCACGTTTTAACGCACTCCAGAGCATTACAACGCGCTATCACAAAGAGAATTTCCTTCGATGAGCGCGTTACAACGCACTAGAGAGCGTTAAAATGCTCTCATCCACTCAATTTTTTTAATCAAGCACGTTAAAACACTCTATCAATGTTGTAATGGCCATCTACGATCCAATGAAAGCCCAATTCATTGTTTTAACTTAGGGCATGGATTTCACTTATTTAAAAGGGAATTCCAGATCCATTAAAGGGAGTTTTTGATAATTGAGAAGAGTGAATCCTACTTTGGGGAAAGAAGCTCGTCTTTCATGCTTTGGAGCATCAGGAGTAGGTTGAATTCAATAACAAGCTGAGAGTTTTGAGGATTCTTCACGCCATCACACCAATGGAGTTTGGAGGATTTTCTTTACTTTCTCTTATCTTTGATTTCGCTATACTAGGCGAGATTTTTATATAGTTAGGGATAGATGGAACCCAATTGAATTCTTATATTTATGGATAAAATTATCTGTGTAATTTTTCATTTTTATAATTGCATGAAAATTTCTCTGTTTAATATTTTCTATGAATTCGCTCCTTGTAAAATGATTTTGCGGAATTGTATAACAATAGGGATGTTGGTGCATGAACCCCGACTTGACAAATTCATCATAATCCTTGTGATCTAGGAATAAATATAGAGCAATTATGCAATATTTAGATTCTTGAATTTAATACGTGTTTTCTTGATGAATAACCGGAGAACTAGGATTCTTTTAAGATTACATAGAACTAGGGAAACAAGGGATTGAACCTTAATAATTTAGAGGGAACGATTGGCATTATATTAAGGACGGTTGCTTAACTGTTTAATCCATCACATAAAAAGGATATTGGGGAAAAATCGAAACCCTAACTACGCTTTTCTTGATTGTCAAAACACTCTCTTTTTAATTGCTACGTTTTAGTTCTGAATTCTTATACTTTTAATCAATCTTACTGTTAATTCAAGGATCTCGAAATTGTTTGTCCAAATAAAGCATGAATAGTGAACTAGTGCTTGAAATCTAATAATCGTGGGAACGATCTCGTACTCATGTACACTTTTATTACTTTTACGATCGGTGCACTTACCGAAGTCACAACAACACGTCCTATTTTTGATTTTGGCAACATCACCGTCCGAGAAAGGTGACAACAAAAAGGAAAAGAAGAAAAAGAATAATAATGAATCTTTCTTTGTAATAGTCAAGGGAAAATATGTAATATAATAATTACATTTAGTAAGAATTATTTTCTTAAATTTGAAAGGAAGAAAAAATGGAAATAAAGTAAAATAAGATCAAATAAATAGTGAATGTTAGATCAATTTGAAATCAACAGTTGAAAAAGAGGAAAAATTAAACGTCATTTATTTCTAATAAATCTAATGATAACAAAAGAGATAGTAAGAGTGGTACCTCTAAAATGATGGTAAGTATAATCGTCCCCAAAATTAAATTACATAAAATATTATTCTACTATATCTTATCTTCAAAACTTAAAAAATTAAACTATAGGCCACTCTATCCCAATCCTGTTTTATGTTACTTTTAAACAAAGCCTAAGGGGGTTGGGCCTATGATATGACATGGCTAAGTCAATTACCAAAACCTCTTATTAGCTTGCAGAGCCTTTTTGGCATCTATTTTTTTAAGCTAAAAGCTACTTTTAAGCTAAAAATAAAAGAAAGTGCTTAAAAAATAAAACTAAAAAATATTTGGTCATTGTATAAAGTTGTTACGATGGTTTTAAAAGAAGGAAGATAAGATAATTTATTATTATAATGAATTATGAAGGTAAATGATAAAATTTATAATTACAAGTTTAGAATAAAGGTAAAACTGAAAAATAAATGAGGAGTCAAAAAAGCTTATATACATCTTAAAAAAAATCGTATTAGGAGCTTTTAGGTTTTAGTTATTTTCTTCATTATAAAAAAAAAGCTCTTTTTCTAATAAGAGTTTTTACAAAAACTTGTTTGGTTTAACTTATGCTTATAAGGAGAAAAAAAGCTATAAAAAAATCTCTCAAACAGGCACTAACTGTCAAACCCCATTGAATTAGAGAAAATGTATTGAGAATTCATTGATTGACTTGTAGAAAAAATGATACAAATACACAGGCTAAGCTATTGCTCTTATATACATGAACTTCACCCAAAAGATACAGAAACTAACTCAACAAATAAACCAATTCACTAACTGACAAACTAAAAGATAAATAAACTAACATGTGGCAAAAACTCATAGGAGCTCTCTCAGTTCTCAAGCTACTATAGTTGTAATAACCCCCTTCAAGTTGGGAGGTAAACATTTCGAACACCCAACTTGCTAACTAGGTTCTTGAAAGGTCTTGTTGATAAGCTCTTTGTGAAAGAGTCTGCTAACTGAGCTGATGAAGATATATGAAGGAGATTAATCAACCCATCATTGATATTCTCTCGTATCAAATGGAAGTCTATCTCTATATGCTTCGATCTGTCATGGAAGCTAGGATTGTTAGCCAAATAAATAGCTGAGCGAAGGTCACAATACACTAGGATAGCTTTGAACAATTCCACGCTGAGTCTTAAAGCAAGTAACGAACCCACTGCTTTTTGCAAACAAGCGCAGCTAGAGCTCTATACTCACCTCGATACAGTCCTTTGTTTCATTGATCTCCAAGTTGCCAAGGAAATTTCTAAGAACACACAAAATCCAATAATTGAACGCCTGGTATCTGGGCAAGTTTCCCAATTCGAATATGCAAACCCATCGGGGTCCAAATTATTATTTGCTGAATAAAGCAAACCATTTCCAGGGGCAGTCTTCAAATATCGAAGAACATGTAATGTAGCCTTCATGTGTAAATTAGTGGGACTTTCTACATACTGACTCAACTACTGCACATCATAGGAGATGTTAGGATGCGTCGTTGTCGAATATAATAGCCTTCCCACAGGTCTACGATAGATGGTTGAGTCTTCATAAGGCTTTCCTTTCTCATGTTCCAACTTAACACCCGGTTCCAAGGGTGTGGAGCAAGGTTTAGCTCCTAACATTCCACCATCTGCTATCAATTCTATTGCGTACTTGCATTGGTTAATTACCAACCTATCATCTGATCTTATTATCTCCAACCCCATAAAATAATGCAAGGTCCTTAATTTTGAACTCAGCATCGAGAAACTTCTTCACCAAATTTATTTCTGATTTGTTATTCTTAGCAGGCACTATGTCATCGATATCAATCAACAACATTGTGAAAGATTCTCCTTGAGATTTAATGAGCAAGGAAAGATCAGCTTGTGATTGTTTGTACTTAGGGGTGTTCGCGGTCTTGATTGGAACAGTTTTGGAAGCAAAAATCATCTAATTCAATCCCTTTGGTTTGATCATGTAATCATCCATTCGATTTGGATTTTTTTTCAAATCTCATCTGATCCAATCCAAACTTTTTGGTTTGGATTGGATCGGTTTTCGATTTTTTGAAAATCCTAAAATTTGTTTCATGATTATTGTGCAAATAACATCTTTTGTATATATTGGCTTTGCAATTTTTTTTTTGAAATACAAAAGCATAAGTAAACGATAATATAGTTTTTTTGGGCAATGAGATATGAAGCTCTACACAAATGAAATTTTATTGATGAGATGTGACTAAATTTTTTCTTGGGTTTAATTGACGGGTTAATGGGTCTTTGGTTTAGAAATTTTTGGGCTATGATTGGGAAAAGACCTAAGTAAGTAGAGGGGAATTAATATATTAGATCGGTTTTCATCAACCAATCTGAAAATCGATCCAATCCAATTAAAATTTGAGGTTTTTTTTCGATTTTTGATTTTTCGGTTTTCGATTTTTCGATTGGGTCATCGCGGTTTGGATTGGTTGATGAACACCCCTTTTTGTACTCGAAAAACATCAATAAGGTGTTGAGACGTGAGAACCATTGTCTACTTGCTTGCTTTAATCCATATAACGATTTTTGCAACTTATAAACTTGATTAGGATGACGAACCTTTACTCTATAAGGCGGCACCATGTACACTTCTTCATGTAACTCATCGTGTAAGAACATATTGTTCACATCGAGTTATTCCAAATACTACCACCTTGCAGTGGGAACGGAGAGCAGAATGCGTATGGTGGCAACCTTGGCCACTCGGGAGAAAGTATCTAGAAAGTCCACCTATCAAGTTGAGTAAATCCCTTTGCAACAAGCCTCGCTTTGCGCCTTTCGATGGTACCATCCGCCTTAAGTTTGGTTTTGTACACCTACTTACATCCAATCGAGTGTTTTCTAGGGGGTAGGTCTATGAAACTCCATGTCTTACTCTGCTCCAAGGCATCAAGTTCAGCAATCATGGCTTTTTGCCAACATTCATGTTGAGTTGCTTTGGCATAGGACTGAGGTTCCTTTAGTGAGTTAAGGGTAAAACATAAGGAAGCATGGTTTGATGGATAAAATTCATAGGTGAGAATGGAAGTTAATGGATAAGGAGTTGTAGTATTCTTGTTGCAGTGAATGTCATAGAGATAGGTATGAGTTCATTGTGGATGATTAGAACGACGAAAGGAGATGTTTGGTGAAGTGTTGGAAGGCTGGTTGGGTGAATGAGTACAAAGATTGTGATTAGGATTGATGTTTTGGATAAAGGTTGATGTATTTGTAAGGAATGGGTCATCAAAGATTAAGGGTGATGCAATAGTCTATACACTGGTGTTTGGATTTTGTTATCTTGGCTTTTAGAGAATGGAAAATAGGTTTCATGAAAAATGACACGTCTTGAAATAAATATTTGGTGAGAAGATAGATCAAGCAAGACATACCCTTTGTTTCCATTTTTATTCCCCAGAAATACAGACTTGCGGACACATGGTGAGAATTTTGTGCGCACAGCAGGAAGTGTAGTAGCATAACAAAGAGACCCAAAAACTTTTAAATGAGCAAATGTTTGGGGGATGTCGTGAAGCACTTCGAAATGAGTCTTTCCTTGAAGAATAGGGGTGCTAACTCTGTTGATTAGATGATCTGCATGTAAAACACAATAAAACCAAAACTTAAGGGGAAGTTTAGACTGGAAAAATAATGCCCTGGCAACACTAAGGATATGCTGGTGCTTTCTTTCCACCACGCCATTTTGCTCTGGTGTTTGAACACATAAAGTTTGTTGAACAATGACTTTAGTTGAATAGAATTGATCCATCATAAATTCTGCACCATTATCACTACGAATCATTTTCATCGTATCAGGAAATTGAGTTTCGACCATGGTAATAAAGTTACGCAAGTGAACTCTTGTTTCTCCTTTGTTTTGCATCAAGGTTATCAAAGTAAACTTAGAGAAATCATCTACAATAGTCAAAAAGTACTTATCCCATTCATAGATGAAGTGGAAAGGTCTCCCATATGTATGCATATATTAAATCAAGATATTTTTGTGTTACACTTTTACTATTATTAAGGAGAGTTTTTGCTGTTTAGCAAGATGTCATATGTCACATAAAGCAGCATATTTAATTTATTATATGTCATAGATGGAAACCTCTTACACATATCTAACCTAACCAAATCTAAAGTGTGTCCTAGAAGAAAGTGTCATAACATCGAATCATCTACTATAGTGTTTTGTACATGTTTATTTTCAGTATCTGTATTTACACTTGCTCCCTTGATTCCTGCCTTTCCATCGTGCATCAACACAAAGTGCCCTTTGTATGGTTTAGCAAAACCAATCACTTTCCCCGAGGAGATATGCTTTATGCAACAAGTAGAATCACGAAAAGTGAGTTCACATGATATTGTTGTCAACAGTTTAATAACTAAAATTAGAATCATATGGAATTCAGGAGCGTGTAGAACATCAGTGAGCTCTAAATGCTCAGACAAAATTATTATTCCTGAATAGTTGGCAGTGACTTTGTAATTGTTTGGAAGTATGATTGCAACAAAATCAATTTTCTTATGTGAAGAAAAGAAAGAAGAAAAATAACTTATATGACCAGTGGCCCCTATGTCGATTATCCAATGGTTAAAATTAAAAGTCTTTCCATAATTAGTGTTGAAAGTTGTACCTTGTTTGGCTTAAGCAAAGTGTACAGTATAATTATTATTCTCTCCAACATCATCAACCTTAGATTAGCTCATCAGATCAAGAAAATTATGATATTCTTGCTGAGATATTAACACTTTAGTGATCTATTTCATCTCATCACTTTCCTCGGATACACCAAGAGTTGCATTAGTAAAAGCAGCCTTTCCTTTATTCTTGAAGCCTGGTGGATATTTGTGTTTAACATAACAGGTTTCTATCAAATGGTTGGTGCATCCACAGTGAGTACAAAGCTTTGTCCCTCGTCCACGTCCACGTACACTTCTGCCTTTGCCAAATAAAGTTGCACGAATTTATTGTTGCTCAGCTACATATGCCTTTGATCCCACCATGATTTCTCCAAAAGTTTCAACATTCATCTGACATTATTGTTGAGTGACCAATGAAAAAGCCTTATTCATGTTTGGTAAAGGCTCGATCAACATTATTTGAGAGCTTACGCGTGAAAATTGATCATTAAGTCCTTTTAAAAAACTTATCACTTGATCTTGCTCCCTAGATTTCTTTACTTTGTCAGAAGCTCAACAAACACAGTTTGACAGCGGATGGAGATTTTCTAGTCCATCCAAAGTGTTTTAAGTTCAGTGAAGAAATCGTTTACTGGTGAATCTCCTTGATGGAGACGATGAATATCTTGTTGTAGATCGGCTATCCTGAAGATGTCTAATCGATTGGGAAAATTTCACTTTAAGATCCTTCCAAACTTCGTGAGCCTTTTCAATACAAAGAATTGACTTAGCAATGGACAACTGAATGGAATGATGTATCCACGATAACACCATAGTGTTACATCGATCTCATGCTTGAAAAGTTGGCTCGTTAGCTCTTGAAATGGTGAGAGTTCCATCAACAAAACACAAATTGTTCTTAGAGCGCGATGCCATCTTCATCGCATATAACCACGTATAATAATTCTTTCCATCAAGAAACAAACTCGCGAGGACGAGTGAAGGACTCTCGCTTGGATGGAGGTAGAGAGGATTCAAAGGGTTCGACAAATGGTCAAGAAGAGAAGCCTTGTTCGCCATTGAAGAAGAAAATGAAACTTCCATAAAAGAAAAAACACATATGAAGATGAAGGTGCGATACCAGAGCTCTCTTTAGAGCTCCGAGACCATATCAAACCCCATTGAATCAGAGAAAACATATTGAGAATTCACTGATTTAGTTTTAGAAAAAATGATTCAGATACACAAAGATTAAGCTACTCCTCTTATATACATGAACTGCACTCGAAAGATACGAAAACTAACTCAACAAATAAACTAATTCTCTAACTGACAAACTAACAGAATATATAAAGTAACACGTGACAAAAACTTGAAGGAACTCTCTTAGTTCTCAAGTTACTATAGCTTAATACTAAGAGATCCTATAATAGGGTTATCTCTCTTCAAAACACACAACAATATTGAGCTTGTTTGAATTCTATTTTTAAAATGAGTTTTTTGATTTTCAGAATAAAAAAAACTTGTTTGATAAGGCTTATTTTGTAAAAATTGTTCTAAAAATGATAATTACTTTTAAATTTTTAGAATTAAATTTAGAGAGCATATCTGAATTATTTTTGTTTTGTGTTTTGACTTTTAACATTAAAAAATACAGAAAATACTTACTTTATTAACTATTTTACAAAGTAGTTTTAAAAATAAATAAATAAACATAATCATACAGACATAATATTAACGCCCTTCCCATGCCAAAAGTGACAAATACGATAGTTTATAAATAAATAAGGGTTTATCATCTATCATTTAACATTACCACAAAAAATTTTCTATACACACAATATTTTGTGGGGTCCGCAGCAAAAAAAAAAAAAAAACTTTGGCACGCAAAACGAATCTCTATAACATAACACAATCACTTTTCTTACCACATAACTCTTATAAAACACAATAAATAAATAACTATATACATACAATTGCACACACAGATTTATTTAATCACTTAAACTCTCGAGGTTGGCGCTTTGAGAACATAATTTGCATATAAGTATACTTTTTTTTAGAAAGACAGGCAAGCTTTATTAATATTTTTCTATTGGTTTGGGTGAAAGACTAAAATGGAACTTCTCCAAGTCTGGTCTTTTTTTCTTTTTAATTGAAGAACAGTGTCGTAGTATAGATGCTGTCATGATGCAACGTCACCCCATCGGCGCAATGACGAAACAGATTCCCATTTACCTAACCTCACTTATTTTTTTCGTTTTCTAACGTCCATTCCAATTTTTTATTTTGTTTTTTATTTTTTTTATACATTCCAATTTATTTTTTAATCCACAGTACTGAAGACCCGTCAACTGCTTTTTTATTTATTTATTTTTCTCAAAACACCAAGTCCTGGGTGCATACCAAACAAAATGATGATTTTTTTACATATGAATCAAGACCTGTTCACACCAAGAATAGATGTATACTTTTAAATAATTAACTTAACCGGAAATTTTGTTCTCATTTTAAATAATATAATTGTTTACCTTTTTTTTTTTCATTTTCTCTCTTTTCCTATTTTACAAAGGAAAAATAGTTTAGTATTTATCATATTATAGAAAATAAATTTATCTCCTATACATAATAAAAATATACGAAACCCATGTGATCTCATTAAAAAGAAGAGAAAGAAAAAATGAGTCACCCACATTTTTATATATAGGCTAAATTATACAAAATCACCTCAAACTTATATGTGTTTTCAAAAAATCACCTTATATTTTGAATTGAGTCAACAAACCCTCTTATACTTTAACATTAAATCAATTAAACATATTTAATAATTTTATGACAACAATACCATTTGCCATCAATCTGCTACTAGCCATTGCTACTCTTGGCAAGACCTACTAAACTGATTTCTTGTCAACGATCTCTGTATCGGGCAAATTAGAAGGCTTTACTCATGCATATTTGCCTCTCGAGAAAATAATAGGCTGCAATTCTTCTTGTCAACATTGCATCCTTCATTTTTTGTAGAAAAAATCCTTAGAAATAGATGGAAGATTCTTCGCCGTCCATGTTACTTTCCTTGATATATTCCCCATCGAAATGCAACATCTTCAATGCAACTTCCTTTTTCTGTTTTTCCATTATAAAACAAACTCGCTCATGATCTGATACGTTGCATCTTCGTTAATTCACGAGCAAGATGTTAGTAGACTATAGATTACGAAGAAGGATTATCAATTTTTTAAATATTATCCATTTTTGTTTCGTTTAGTTTTTGTTGTGGAGCACTTGCGAGCAGAGTTGAGGCCGCTATTAGCTGATTTTGATAATACATTATCTGATAGCAAGTTGAAGACGGGGATATTTTTGTCTTAAATTTGTAAAATATGTCTAATTGATGAAATGTTGAAGTATAAGATGGTTAATTGTTTTAATTAGAAGTGCAAGGTGTTATTTTAAAAAACACTTAAAGTTTAGGGTGGTTTTATGTAATTTAACCTTATATATATATAGGAGATAATTTATGTCATACAACATGAAAACACTAAAACCATATAAAAAATGGCCAACTATACACACACAAAAAAGTCATTTCATCTAAAATGACACAACATTTATCATTTAAAATGATAAATATTTTCACTTAACCTAAAAGAAAAATTATCATATAATAATAAGTATACAAGATGAAAATTTTATATTTAATATATCACAAATTAGAAATTGTGTAGTTTATATAATTAAATATAAAATAGTCATAAATAAATATTTTTATTTTTGAGCATTTATGAAAAACTTCTCATATGAGATAAGTATCTTTTTAACTTTATTTTTTTTATAAACCTTTCTACTTTTTATTAGTTACTTTTTTTTAAGAGAATCAGCGAAATTTATATTTAATTAAAAGTACGTTGAAATTATTTATTTTATTTTATTTTGGTATGGCGTTGAAATTTTAATACATATATTGTAGGACCACCAACTTAAATATAAAAAAAAAAAACTATTTTAAAGAAAAATTTAAAAGTAATGGGGAACAATGGCTCCCCTGTGTTGTGCCATTGTTATTTAAATATTTAAAAAAGAGTATAAAAAATTTATTTTTTTGCTTTGTTATTGAAACAAAAATTATGTAAAATTAGTTTAATGAAAATAATGAACAAAAATCATTGTCGTATATATAATAAGTCTAATAAGTCATAATAATGTTATATGCACATAATTTATATTGCATCATTTTCAAATAATTTTGTAAGTAATAAAATAAGGAACATATCCTTTTCAATATATGTATATATTCTCTCTTTTTTAATTCCCAACAAGGCGTGGAAAATTGTTTGCAGAAATCGTATCCCAATGACTTATATACATAGAAGGAAGACTTTCCTTGACTTGTGGTTTAGGTGACAAAGTATTTGTGGCATATTGGTAATTTAATTTAGATTCCTTTAAGAATAATGGCCAAAATACATCATGATGGAGCGTCATCATCATATGTCCTTATATTGATCAATGATCAATTTGAAGCGCAGCGAAGAAGCAACCGAGAAACTGCGTGCTGTCTGTCTCCTCCTACTATTATTAACACCACTTCTTTTTATAACTTTTTTATTCTCTAATACTTTCGAGCATGGATATCAGTGATAGCAACAGTAGCAAGAAGAGGAAAATTCACCGCGAAAAAGATGAAGAAGAACAAGAACAAGAACAAGAACAAGAAGACGAGGCGAAAATGGAGACATTCTTTGCTCTGGTGAAAAGCATCCGCGAGAGCCGTGACCGATGGATCAGTTTCAGGTCAGGTGATCACAGCAAGAACAAAATGAGTAAGAACATCGTGAACAAGGAGGAAAATAGAGTTGAAGTTTGGAAGCCCACGTTTCAACTTGAAGATTTCGCGCAAGAGGACCTTAGTGTGACCTTATTAGCAGGTTCGTCGTCTCAAAGCAATAACTGTCATAAAGAAGAGGATGCAGAAAAAGGTATTGACTTGAAGCTCTCACTTTGATAGATGGAGCTAGCTAGCGTACTGTTGTACTTGTTACTGCATGCCCTCTTCAAAGTGATCATGGCTAGTTGTATTATTCTTCGTGCGTATTGTAATCGATGCCCTGCGCAACTTGTAGAGTTGTCATTTATTAATGGTTTTTTTTTTTTTTTTGGTGAATATTTATTAATCGTTTCAGTACTGTGTTTTGTGCTTCAAATAATGAATGAATGGTGGCTTTTTAGTTCCGTAAGTTTTTTTTTTTTTTTTTACCTACCAACCCGTGTTCGAAGATTTCATGAACCTGACTAATTTAGTTGGATTCGGATCCTCTGATGTGAAAAATCACATGACATGGTAAAATGAAAAAATCATAACCATATAAAGATAGATCAATGGTAATAAAAGAGGAGAAAAAAATAGTAAAATAAGTAATTACAAAATTATAATTCAACTTTGCATGGTTGTGATCTTCTCACATAACCATGTCATGTTTTTTCTCACAATCCATTTCCAATTTAGTTTCAGGTTTGAGTCTTTTTATCCCCAAAAATAATTACTCTTTAAGAAATCTAGGATCTAGCTAATCACAGAATCTAGCTGGGTAGCAGGTTCCATAAGGCATAAGCAAATTCAAATTCACGAGGAGGAGACAGTTTTTAATCAATTTGGTTGAAGTTTCGGTGTAAGAAATAAATATGCTAGTTAAAATGGAGGAGGAATATTCTTATCACCAAAATTTTCTATTACCAACTCACTACCTATCTAATTACTATTGGATCAACATTTTCTCTTTTTTTAAAAACTTTTTAGCATTCTCTCTCTTTGATCCAATGATGATTAAATAGATAATAAGTTAATAGTAAAAAATTTTGGTAATAAAAATATTCTCCCTCGTTAAAATAAACAAGAGATCCAATTAGGATTAATGATTCATCTGAAAGGAGAAGACTATTATTTTATTTTTTGGCAAAGAGAAGACTATTTTGATTTAAAAGTTTTGGGTTTAATTTGTCACAACATTATATTTACAAATTTTACAAATTTTTTATTTCCAAATTACATTATACATATTATGGATAATACATATTACTCGAGTATGCACTACTTATAATACATAATATAGTTTATAAAAGTTTATAAATATAACATACTTCATTGTTTTATTGGTAAGGGAAATACTACTCTCATTTTACATGAGGTAGTTATCTCATTTTCTCTCACATCGAAAATCGCACCCCTTCTTTTTTCTTTTTCTTTTTTACTTTTTAATGGTGGACCCCACTTAAACTCTCTCTATAGCATGAGATAATACTCTCATGTAACATAAGATTAATATTCCCCTATTGGTAAATACATGTCCTTATTTTGAAAATGAACTACCCCTCCATCTGGCTACTTATATGTCAAGATATGTATGACTATTTTTTTTTGGTAATTAAAAGGCTACAGCCCAAACAAAACAAGCAGAAACTAAGCTACAACTAAAGCACGATCTCTCCCCACATAAGAGAAATCAGCTAAATACAAGAAATAAATATCAATAGGAGGATTCCCACATAAAACTTTTTTGACACTATCATCAACATCCAGGATATAATTTTTCATCCAATCTGCTCAAGCATTATCCTCTCTATAAGTATGGCTAATCTTAATTCTCCAATCTTTTTGTAACCATGTCCGTATTCGAGTAATCAGATGACCCTCACGGACTGCTCCCCCCTCCTTGGTGAGCACAGAGATATGTATGACTATTTTATTTGGTACACTGCGGGAACTTATTGTTTTAATATTGGGATAAGTTTTATTTATAAATTTTTATAAATTATGTTATGTATTTCTGATAGTACATGCTCAAATAGCATATACTACTCATAATATATAGTATAATTTGTAAACAAAAAATTTGTAAATATAATCCTACTCTTTAATATTTAGGCTAAAGCATAAACAAATCCCACAAACTATAAATCATTTAGGAAAGGATAAATTAACTTATTTAATCTTGATAATTTATTACAATATAAGTGTTAAAGAATTTATTTTATAAAACCACTTGTTAATGAATATTTAACAAAAAATTTCAGACATGGATACCCCTTAAAAAAATAAATCATATCATTACTTTAATTATCTTGGCATTTTTTTTTCGTTTTGGTAGGAATTGTTTTCGGTTATTATCAACTCTTTAGTTTTTATGCATTAGATATTGCATTTGCATTATAAATAGGGGTGTTAACACACGAGTCAGGTCGGGTTTTTGTTTTAAAAGATTAAGTATGTATTTAAATATTTCAGTCTGATCTAGCCTATTATGTAACATCTCCGTCTCGATCCGGTTCAATTAACATGCATATGATACAAACAGAAATAGCGGAAGACTTAAACTTACGAAAATACGAGCTAACTTTTGCTTTTTCTGATTTAATTCCTATTTGACGGAGACGAAAATCGGACAGAGTAACCTCTGTAAATCGAACAACTGGGGATTTTCCAATCCCACACTCAAGAGTTCCTGATAGACATTTTATACAGCATATACTTTCAAAAGTACCAGACATCCATATAAAATCATATACCCATCCATGGGCGCATACATAACTTGGCTCCGTGCCACAATACCTAATCAGCATGCAATCCGACATGTAAACATAAACTGAATACTACATCATCATATAACGTGCCTGAATACACAAATGTACATGCATCAAACTGACAGACATGTACAAAACATATACAAGCCATATACAAAATAAAGGATCAAACATCATGATCCACAAAATACTGAAATACTAAATAACATCTCTGTACTCGAAAATAGCAGTAGCCTACAACTACTCAAAATTCGATCTGTCGAAACGCCTCAACCACGGGTCGCGTCCCTGCCTAGTGAGGATTCACCGGGGATCTGAGAACCTGAAATGATGTCCCCAAAGAGGGGTGAGATAACAAATCTCAATAAGCTCCAGGTTTATAGAGAATTCTCCATACCCCTAGTTCACTCCTGCATGAAGGTAAGATACAGAGTATACAAGTGCAACATATAACAGATATCATAACAGAACAAAACATATATACATATCTTATCAGAGGCGTGTGTCGTCATTCCCAAGAGAGGACCCCAAGTGGAGTTTAATGCATGTGTTCCCAAGGGAGGACCCCAAGCGAAATTTAACGCACGCGTTCCCAAGGGAGGACCCCAAGCGGAACCAGAACATGTCAAAGGCGTACATCGTCAATCTCAGGGAAACCCTAAGAAGACATCAGTGTACCATACACTCAATACAGAAATCATATCAGAACAAGTCATATGATGTTATCAAATAGCTCTATATGAATGCATCTATACAAAGCATAAATACAATCATACAATCCAACCATAGTTCACTAACCATGATGGAGCACTCAAGCAGGAAAAGACTCATTAAACATAGAGCTTACCTCTTGAAGCTTTTCTAATTCACTTACTTGTCGCACAAGTTACTTGTATAGCTTCAAGAGAATCCAAACCCGTTTCAGTCCCTAAGCACACCTAGAGAAAGAATCCAAAACAAAAATCAATAAAATGCTATCATGCCGAGATTTTTACATAAGGCATACATTTTATCGCTTACTTTCATTTCTTTATATTTTTGCCAATCCTATACCAATACACAAGTCTAGACCATACTTTCATAAATTCTCTTATTAGACCATTTTACAACATTAATCACTCCCTAGCCCCCAAAGACCCTAGATGGCCGAAACCAATGTTAGGAATGGCTAGGAATTTACATCAATTTATTTGACAAAATCAATAGTTCCTAGAACCCTCACTTGGCTCCTAAATTAACTTGGTATTCGCTTGAAAATTTTAAACATAATTCATGACACTTTTCTTCATAAGGCCGTGGACATACCTAAAGGGAACCAAGATATCTTTCAACGATTTTCAAGTCATTTCACTTATTAATCTTATCAACCACATGCATTGGAAACACAACACATTATCAAAACAAAATGTAACATAATTCATCATTAAATCACCCCATTAGCCGAAACATAGGTGTACAACACCATATCATTTTTCTCACTTTGGTATTTTCATTTTTTACACTTAAATCTCCACTTACACCAACACAACACATTCATAATCCATGTAATTAAATTTTTGCACAATAAACCCTATTTAACCTATCAAGGCCGAAACCTAGGGAGGGAGGTGCAAAGGGACTTTTCAATTTTCAATCAAAGGTTGATGCTTAATTCACACTACTACTTCCTAAACAACAACAATTTATCATCAATTTCAAATTCAAAACTAAATTATTTCCCACCAAAATATGCTCACAATTATCAAGACTTAAATCACAAACATAAAACCATAGAATTAGAGGTTTCTTACCTAGTTGCTATTCCAAGCTCCAAAGAACAAAATCTAAGCTTTGATCACTCAAAAGCCCCACTTTTTCACAAGGATGAATAGTGCCACGAATTAGGGGTGATGAATAACTTTCTCCACAAGCAAAATCAGCTCAAACTAAGTAGTGGAATGGATTCATTGGGTGATTTACTATAAGTTTCGTCTAATGCACTTTAAGATTTTGATGATTGTAGAGTGAGAAATCAAGGAAGGAATGCTTGAAGCCAAGCTTCCATGGAGGCTACAATGAGAGAGAAAAACAAGGAAAGAAAACGCGCACGAAAGAAAAAAAGAATACGGAGGTGTCATGTTTTCTAAGTATAAAATAGTTTAAGTTACTTTAACTGGGTAATAGCTTATCTATCTACACACCTCCATTTAATACCAAACTTTACCCAATGAACTAGAATATTTTTCTAGTCATATTTCTAACTTTACTTTCACTTTTCGGGTAACTTTGTTTACCCGCATTTTTATCCCTTAATTGTCATTTTAACTCTTTTTTCACCAAAGGTGACTTTATTTCTTTTACTTTTAATTATTCTTCAATATTAAATATCCAATTACTAGTGAGGGCTATTATATATTACATATTATGAATAAAATTATCGGTCTGTGACCTAACTTATTTACAAAAAATAAAAATCTGGTTTAGTCTGTTAGACAAAATAAGATAATAAAAATTTATTCAAACAGAATATACGATCAACAACACTAATCATTCCACAAAGATTCATAAATTCAATGTATATCCAAACAATATAATATAGAACAAAATAATTCAAAAAATCTATTTAACCAATAAAATGTGATAAAATATGTTGAGGAGAT